TTTTAATAAAATCCATTTTGAATAACGTGTTCTCAAAAATAAGGAAAAGTTGATATATAGTTTGATTCTGACTCCAAAATCTTAATGCATATAAATTCATATTAAATTTTATTAGATAGAAAGTGTTTCATTCATTTGGCAATGGAATAGCTAAAAGTCCGCAAGATCTTATATGTATAAATTCATCTCAAATTCCATCAACTTGAACATTACGGTTTTACATTTTAGACTTGATTTTATTTCCATCGACAGCAGATTACAAGTCTCAACTGAAGGTTAATCCATCCGAATGGGGCTAGTACTTCAATGCTAATCTAATAATCTACCTAATATTCAAGTCAACAAGATTATAAATGTCAAGCTAAATACATAATATATTTTTCATAATTCTAAAATATTAATTTTCTTTATATATAGTTGTCTTTTAATTAAATTATTTTTATTTATAAACAATTAACTTTATGTTTTATATAAATTGTTATTTAAAAATAAATATTCACGTATAAAATATGTGATAATAAATTAAAATTTGTTATGAAATATAACTTGAAATAATAGCTATAAGAAAAATATAAAAAAAAGTATTTAAAGGGAGAAAGTATTTAGAGGAGTAAAATTTTACTCAAGTGTGTATTTATAAATGAAATGAGGAGTCTATTTATAGATTAATAACTCTTTATATTAAATAAAATTTAAAATATGAAGATAATACTAGGAGATTAAATAGATGGATTAAATTTTAATCTTAATTTAGTCTATTTTTTATCAAAATCTAGATATACATAATATAAATAGATATTTATAAAAATATTAATAACATTCCTTTAATATTTATTATATTAAGAATATACTGCATTAAAACTTTATTAGGAAAAAATTTCACGTAAAAAAAATTCAAATGAAGGAAAAAAGTACATAATTCCTTTTAAGAATATGTTTTTGATATACTACCTCATTAAAAACCTTATAAAAAAAAACTCAGTAGACAAAATTTTAATAAAGGAAAAAAGTATAGTACATATTTTATTTCTCTTGATAATTACATTATTGAGATCTTTAAAACAACATATTTTGATCTTTTATACCATCTTTTCAAATGTTGTAACAGGAAGGGCTTTGATAAATAAATATATTAAATTGCCACTTGAACGAATTTGTTGAACACTAATATCTCTCTTTTGTCGACATATATTTTGTTTTATCACCTTTAATGTATCTTTATTTTAACTATGCTATGTAAGTAGTATTATCCTCATATAATGTTGTTGAAATTTCTTTTTAGTTGACAAGCTTCATGTTTTTCAAATATATTAAGTTATATATCTTATCCAAACCCGTCCATGATTTACCTTATAAATTATTAAAATTTTTGCATGTTTAGAAGAAGTAGTAACTATAGTTTGTTTTATAGAACGTGATGAAATAGTCATAGCTTCACATATGAATAAGTAACATATCTGAAATCAACCTTTGTGTGGATCAAATAAATATTGTACATATGCATAATCAATTAAATTTAATTTTGATACATTTGAGAAATATAAACCCATGTCTATTGTTCGTTGAAGATATTGAAGTATATGTTTAATTTCATTTCAATGTCTTTGAGTTGGGGAAGAATCATATCTTGTTAATATTTATAACAAATAATATATCAAGTTATGTATTGTTAGTAAGATATATCAGTACTCCGATTGCAATAAGATATGATACTTCAGGACTAAGATATTCTTCATCATCCTCATGAGGTCGGAAACGATCTTTTTTTCATGTCTAGTAACCTTACAATCATTGGTGAACTTAATAGATGTGTTTTGTTCATATAAAATCATTTTAATCCTTTTGCTATATAATTAAATTGATAGACAAAAACTCGATTTGTCAAGTACTCAATCTGAAGACTCAAATAAAAATTAATTTTTTCACTATCTTTGATTTAAAATTTTTTCTTTAAGTAGTACACAGCTTTTGATAATTCTTCAAAAGTTTCAATAATGCTTAAGTTATCAATATAAACAATAATTATAACAAATTAAGATCTAAATTTTTTTATAAAAACACATGGGTATATAAGATCATTTTTATCATTTTTTTTCAATAAATATTCATTAAGACAATTATACCACATACGCCTGGATTGCTTTAATCTATATAAAGATTTTTTTAATTTAATTGAATAAGTTTTTCAAAAATTTGAATTTTGTGCTTTAGGAAACTTAAATCTTTCAAGGATTTTCATATACATATTGTTATCAAGTGAGCCATATAAATAGGCTATAGTTACATTCATTAGATGCATTTCAATCTTTTTATATATTATTAGACTAATTAATATAAAATTATAATTACATGTACCACATAAAATATATCTCTTCATACTTAATACCAAGTCTTTGGGTAAAATCTTGTGCGACAAGCCATGCTTTATATCTCACAATTTTAATTTTCTCATTTTATATTTACATCAATGCCTATTTATGTCCTATTGGTTTTACGCCATTTGGTATACGAATTATAGATCCAAAAACTTTATGTTTTGTAAGTGAATTCAATTTCACCTTAATTGCGTCTTTTCACATTGACCAATCATTTTCTATTTCTACATTTTTTAATATATGTAAGTTCAAGAACTTCATTCTCTTTCTTAATATTGAGTGCTACATTATATGCAAAAATATCGTAGATGTTTATTTCATTTCGATTATATATTTTTTCATTATGAAATAATTGATTGAGATCTCTTCATTTTCAATTATTTCAAGTACCTGAATTTCTTAGAAAATTTTATTAATTATGTCAAGAGTCACATTTAAAGTTTCTATTTTTTTTTGACTATTTTGAATATTTGCTTCTTTTCTTTTTTTGAGAATTTTTATCTTTGGAACCAATTGGTCTCCATGCTTTTATTACGCCTTTTCTTATAGGGACATCAATTTCAATAGTAGCTTCTACAGTTGGTATATGAGATTTACTTATTCTTCTTAGGTCAGTAAATACGTTTGATAATTAATTTGCTATATTTAACAAATGAATTATATTTTGAACTTTAAGTTCACATTGATTTGTGTGAGAATCAATATTAGATAATGCTAATATTGATCCTCTAGAAAAATTTCTTTTTCTAATTGTTTATTTTCTCTCTTTAATGTTAGAAAAATTGTTTCATCAGAATAACAATCGACAAATCTTACCATAAATAAATCTCCTATTAATGGTTGTAAATATTTAATTATAAATGGAGATTTGTATCTAACATATATTTCTAACCTCCTTTGAGGACTCATCTTTGTGTGTTGTGATGGAGCAATTGAAACATATACCGCACATCTAAAAATTTTAAGATGAAAAATATTTTATTTTTGACCCTAAATCAATTGTATAAGGGAAAATTTATAATAATTCATTAGCTTGATGCATATAAGTGTTGTTGCATCAAAAATGGCTAGCCTCCAAACAGAAATTAAGAGTTTATATTTCAAAAGTAATGGCTTTGCAATTAGTTGAAAATATTTAATAAACGATTTTGTTGAATCATTTTGTGTATGAACATGAGTAACAAGTTGTTCAACAGTTATTGCATCTAATATGTAATATTCATTAAACGTTTGATATGTAAATTTACCAGCATCGTTTAGATGAATAGTTTTAATTACGTAATAAGAAAAATGTGCTTGTAAATGAATGATTGCAAATGTCAAATTACAAATTGATAATAAATACACACGTGACCATCTAGTCGATGCACAAATTAAAATTATAAAATATCTAAATGGTCTACGTGGTGGATGTATAAATCCACATATATCATATGAATATGGTTAAAAAATGTAAGAGATTCAACTTTAGCTAGTGATGGTCTTACCTAAGATACTTATTAAGAATCTTAATAACTTTTTATTTAGATAAAATTTACAAAATAAAGAAAATACTAAGAAATTAGATGGATAAATTAAATTCTAATCTTAATCTAATTTATTTTACATCAAAATCTAAATATAAATAATAAAAATAAATATCTACAAAAAAATTTAAAAAAATTTAAAAAAAGTGATTGATCGAAGAAATTAGAAAACTACGAAATATGAAGTCTTATGACAAGTGTGAACAGGCGTTGTTCGCTTACTGGTCCTATTTGTTTGCAAGTAATTTTTTGGATTCGGATTTCTAGGTTAGTAATAATAACAAGTAATCGGCTTGTCGCCTCTTTCCCTTTCCCGCCTTTGGCTTGAAGAATTTAACCAAATAAAAAAAATAAACGATAATTCTTTAAAGATTAGTAATAAAGAACTGGTGTAATCTCCATTTTCGGATTAATATTGCTTTAATTGAATTGAAACTCTCTCCATCATGATAATGATCATAAATAATTGTGGTGATGTTTGCAGGTTGTAGCCCAAGTTAATGGACAGCACACCTAAAACCTTAGCTTCGCTTGTTTGGGACGGTGTTTTTTCACTCGTCTGGCTAATCAACTTTCAACCTTACAATTTTAAGTCACAGAGCATTGAAGATGAAGCAGAAGTCGGTTAATTAGAGTGCGTGACATGTCTGAATTTCTGCTATAATTTATGGTGACAGGTGCAACCATTTGTTAATTTGTCTAATTTTTCATGGGTGGGCTGCTACAATGCAGCAATGCAATCAGATGATATTGTCCCGGAATGGAAATGTCTTTTTCCACCGCCAGGTGGCAATGGCGCCGCATCAAGCAGAGAAGGCATGGCCATCGGGGTAGAGTAAAGTAGTGGCCCTCTCTCGCTTTTACCCCATTCTTTTCCTTTTTTTTTTATTTTTTATCTGAGGCCAGTTTATTATGTTAGTGCTACTTCTCCCAATTTAGGTTACCTGCAGCTTTCCTTTCCTATATATTTAATTCCCAACCCCCCCCCTCCCAAAAAAAAGGAAGAAGCCGTACCTGACAGCTCATCTTGGTATTTATTGTTTTTGAGTCATTTTCTTGAATTGGCTCCTCCCAATCAGCACTATCATCGATGATGACAATCGCGCAAATCAGGGCGGCGTGCTTCATTTCCCAACTCCAGTAATGTCTTCCATTTTAGCAGTAGGGCCCATTAATGAATATTAAAAGGATCAAACCTGAGGTCGTTTTCGTTGCATAAATCGAAATCTTTGTGCTCAATGATTTTCATTTTTTTTTCCTTCTTTAATATCGTTAGGTCCTGCTATGTTCAAAATGGTATTCTTCAAAGAAACCTGCTAGGAGGAGTAATCAATATAACCATCCTGTGTTGATGAATAATGAAGGATGCAGATTGCTTCAGGTTGGTGGTGGCCCTTGTGAAAATATGAAAAGTTACGCCAATTCAGAAGATAATACAATGTCACTAAAGATGTTGATGGAACAAATACTGCAAATTCTATAAGAGGTTTTGAATAAGATATACACTCAAATGTTTTGAATCTAATTTTGCGTTAAAATATTCAGATTGTGGGAAACAGTTTTGAGGATAAACATAGGAAGAGAAAGCGTCCAAGCTTCATTAGCCGTTTAAGAGCAATCATCTGTAAAAGATTCTCCAATTTGGGAAGGTCCAAAAGGGCCGAACCACTGGGGTAGAATGCAAATTCCGCGATTCTGCTTGATCCACATCCTGCCGATGCATAGCCGTCCAAGGAAAACTGCTAACAATGTCATAGGAAACATCAAAGCATAAACTGTTTTGCTACTTTAAGGTTTCAGAATGAACTCTATCTTATGTTCCAGTCCTCTTGCTTTTATTCTTAATTATGTTACAACAAGCTCCTAAAACTTTAGTATGCCTTTATCCAATTCATATTGACAGAATAAATTAATGGTTTTGAAGTTCAGATCACACATTTATGGAACAGAAATTGTATTAGGTGCTCAGGTGAGAAATATTTGAAGTTTATCAGAAAGATAATATGAACAACCAATGTTAAATTTCTCTACACTATCAACAAAAAGGAAAAAAAAATCTGAATTAGAATTGCAGAAAAGTTTCTATTTTTCCCACCATGTCATCTAAGAATTAAAGGAGTATGTAACGCAGGAAAATAAAATAGATAAACAACATATTATTATTTCAAAAAATAATTTAAGATTTTCGAACGGATTCTTCCTTTTATTCTTCAAGTAACACTTCATTCTGATTAATATTTTTATGGTTTATTAATTTTTTAATTTTATAAAAGGCAAAATAAATTTTAATTCGCATGTATCTACACGACCGACATAGAACGTTTTTGCAGGACATGGGATGACGTGGTCCTCAACGCCTAACATATGATCTTTTGGGTTCTATCCAATCAAAAAAAATCAGATAATGACGTGGCGAGATATGCGTGGAAAGTAATGAACTGGATCATGAGAACCGGAGAAAACAGAGGAAGAGGGACAGCAAATCCTAAACGTGACGAACTTCAAAGGTGCAGACATGCACAGTACCTAAGCAAGCTTCCAAGAAGGCAGAGCCGAAAATGACCTCAAAACCGCTTGACCTCACACTAAAATCAGAACCCAAATAAGCCCAGAATCCGCCATACCATTTTAGATCTTCTCTTCCCTTTTATTTTGCTTGTTCGTAGTTCCAACTACTTCAAAACAATAACAACCTATTCTGATTCCTGTTTCCGTCTGTCACTTCCCTTTCTAGATTTGCTTCACCATCATGTTTCATACATTTCCACGTCCAATTTAAGGTAATCTCCTTGGTTTCTTTTTTATTTTTTGTTTTGGCTGTTTTTTGTTTTTCTGGGTTGGGTAAAAATTAATGGGGGTCCCCAACTACCCCAAAAAGGTTAAATTTTTTTTATTATGATTGGATTTCGGTGCATGTGTTGGTGTCTGTGGATTGATCTGTGATGATAATTTGAAATAGAGTTTTGGAATCTTGGTTCTTACTGCACATGTATAAATAGATATCTTTATTAATTGATTCATTTATTTTTGTATTTTTGAATAATATTGTTACCCAGTATGGTTATGCAAGTCTGGTCGATTTTGGGATAACTTTTACATTTTTGAAGCCTACTTGTTTGACTTTTTATGTGGATGTTCTATAATTTTTGTGGGTGTTTGGATGTTGTTGCATTAGCCATATTATGTGCGCTTGAGGAGTTCGGTTTCACCGAGTTATGTTCTCAAATCTACGAGAAGTTAATCCTGACTGTTTCATTTGTTGCTGCATATATGTTTTCGGACTGTATTACTAGCATTATTTGAATAGAATAAACACTGCCATCTTGGAGAGAAAAGCATTTTTCATTTTTGTTAAGTAATAAAACCTTTTCTTGAAAGTTGAGTAAGCCTCTTTTTGGACTTATTTGTTGCTTCCATCAAAGGATGCAACATTATTTCTTTCTTCAGTTATGACTAGAGTTTTGTACAAAACTCATTGAGTTAGAATTTTTTTTTTTGTAATTATTTGGGGAGGGGGATTTGAAACCTGTGCTTTAGGCAGGGGAATAATGCACCAACCAATGAGCCAAATGCTTGGGTGCAACTCATTGAGTTAGAATAGCTCTCTAAAGTGTATGTTTTTTGAAGTGGAATGAGGAATTTGGTCATTTTTTATTGTGGAGTTTTTTAGGCCAATTGGAAGCATAGTGTCAAGGTCCAGAGGGGAGCTATGAATCCCATATCTGTAATGTACTAAAGTGAGACTGGGTATTGAAGTGTTCACACTGTTTCAACTTGTAGATTGGTGTGGACACTTTGAAAACGGTACTGTTTTGGACACTTTTAGGAACCCAACTCTGGGAGCTATTGTAAAGAATGCAAACAACGAGAGAGTGGCTGAAAGATGCAGTAAACCAGGCCAAGGAATATTGAAATTTAATGTTGACAGGGCAGCCAAAGGCTGTCCAGGTGAGGCTGGAATTGGGGGGGTTTTAAGGGACAAAGATGGGCATGTTAAGATTTTATTCTCCATATCTATTGGGGTGGGGAGCTCCACCATTGCTGAGATTAGAGCTATTAGAGAAGCTTACCTTCTGTTTTCAGCATCAAAATGGGCCCAATCACACATATTAATTGTGGAAAGTGACTCTAGAAATGCGGTGAAGTGGGCTAATAGACTAGAAGAAGCAACTGGGAGATTGCAGAAATGGATCCTTCACATTGAGAGATTAAAGAAGGAAATTAATGTATGGGAGGTTAAACACATTTATAGAGAGAAAAATCAAATGGCTGACAACTTTGCTAAAACTGGGATTAACTGACAAGAGGAGCTCCTTTATATTTTGATTAGGCTGATGGGGAGAATTTGATCGGGATGGAGGAACTGGCAGGGGAAGTGGAATTTCACTTACTGCTTTCTGTGAGTTTGTCTGTGTTTTGTCCCTGGTTTTATCTTTGTTGATTGTTGGACTTGATTTTGACGCTTCAGGTTTTCAGCTTTATTAATGATGTAAATAGTGTGCTTTATGTTGTAAGGGGTGGGTACACTGTTGTATGTAAGAGGGAGGGGGATTTATTTTTTGTTTTGGTGACTGATGAGTTATTTTGTGTCATGAGAGATTTTGTTCTTGTGCAGAAAATGTTGAGGTTTTTAGGCCATTATGCTAGGGAAATGCACAACGCCCTTAAATCCTCCTTTTGTTCTTGGCAAGGGAGGTTTTCTTCCCTGTGAAATTTGTACTTTTCAAAAAAAAGATTGGTGTGGACCATGATAGTTGGTATTGGAGCACAATTTGAGGGACAGTGGACCTTGAATCTCACATCGGTTGTCTAGTTACACAACTGAAGGATAGTGAACCTTGAATCCAACATCGGTTGTTTACTTACAACTGAACGATAGTGTGACCGTGAATCCCGTATCGGTTGTGTACTTACAACCAAAGGATAGTGGACCATGAATCCCACATTGGTTGTGTACTTACAACTGAAGCAGGTTAGTGTGGACTGTGCCACATAACCTTCTCATGTGTATACTCAAATGCCAAACTTATATAGTTGAGTAATTATCAAATCAATACTTTGCAGGTTAGTGTGGACTGTGCCACATAACCTTGTCATGTGCATACTCAAATGCCAAACTTATATAGTTGAGTAATTATCAATAATTCCATTTAATGTGTTTTGATGTAGATTGGAGGTGGGGAGCTATGTCAGTAGCAACCATTGAGAGCATGGCATCCTTGAGTAGTGATCTTTTCTACGACATATTGAGGCGTCTTGATGGCCCAACTTTGGCCACTGCAGCATGTGCATGTGCGACATTTTGTTCAATCTCAAGAGAGGAGAGACTATGGGAAAATGTTTGTTCTACTATGTGGCCTTCAACGAACAGAGAAGATGTTAAAAGTTTGATTTCTTCGATTGGTGGATTCAGAAAGTTCTATGCAGATTGTTTCCCGCTTATCGTTAATAAGGAAGTAACAGAGTATCAGTGGAATGACTATCTTGAGTACCCTGAAGAATGGACTGAAGCTGAATATTATGGTGACACCGATGGGGTTGAAAGTATTTCACCATTAGATTTTGTTTCTATTGTAGATATCAGGTATAAAGATAAAACAATCTGTTCAAAAGTCCTGTGGGGTATTCCTAATGCAAATGGATCCAATAGTTGGTTTTACAACTGCCCATTTCGGATTGATCTTCTTACATATGCTGCTAGAGATGATGATAATGAAGGTGAGGTTACCCTTTCAGTTTCTGATGGTCTGCCACCAATTATCTCTATGGAAAAGGAACGGAAAGATGGGAAACTGTGGAAGGAGCTCCGAGATGGCCTCCGCCTTAGTTGGATTGTTGTAAACAGAAAAGTTAAGCAAGCTGCTAATCTTGCCAGCTGGAGCCCTCTTGGTGGACAGAGGCATTGGCCCACGGACAAGGATTTTGTGATAAGGTTTGGGTCTGTTCTTCCTGCCAAGGACATCCTTCCATGTCAAGTAGTAGAGTGCATTCTTATCATGAAGTTCAGAGTCATCCACACACAGGGCGAAGGTATAGAGACAACTCTCAAATTGACAGAGCTGAGCATGCAGTTGGAAGATATGGAAGGTGCACATGTTAATGGAAGAAACAGTTTGCTTATTCTGAAGGAAGCTCTGAGCTGCCACCGGAGCAAAAATTACAGTGAAGTTCTTGAGTCCTGTCATTTGTACTCAAAAGTACAGAGTGAGTTAAAAGAGGAGAAAATAAGGAATGAAAGCAGGTTAGACAGACTTTGTATCTTGAGCGGCATTGCTGCTTTCATCACTTTTTGGTATTACATTTTGTAAATGTAGGTGCTGCTTTCATTTAACACTTTTACTGAAGATATTTTAACAAACTCTCAGCCTTTTTCTTCTGATGTAAAGATTCAATTTTGCTTCAAGTAATAAAAAGGTTTCCATCTTTCCAATCTGATTCTATTATTAGTGGTGTTTAAGAAAAATCCTTGCCAAGTGGTTAGTTACATTCACTATAATTGACTGTAATTCAAGGGACATTGTGTAGAATGTTTCGCACTCAAGCGCCAGAGGCTCTCCCCCTGGACCTTGTAGGATAGTTGTGCCTATCACTGGGGACAAGACCTGCCCTTATTTCGAGCTAGTCCTTGCTTGCAGCAGTTATCTTTAAGTCTACTTGATTTTACATTCGCCTGCTTATGCTAGCTTGTGTGGGAATCAACTCTTGGTTTCAGGACTAGAGAAAATATCGGCAATGCTAATGGTAATCCATTGTACTTAAAATAACCTCCTTTCATTGCTATATCAATCGACTACATAGATATCCGACGTTTCCACAAACAGGGAAAACCAGAAAAAGAGAAAAAGAATCACATGCGATCTTCTGTTAGTCCTATACTAATCATCAGTTCAACATATACTAGAAAAGAAAGAGTTGAGAATTTGGAGCAAGTTCAATGTTCATATTCCTCTTTTGAGCAGGCAATTCCAGTTACATACCCTAAAGCTCATAAGTCATCCCAATTTTGAGCATCCGTTCACGGGGAATTTGAAATACTTTATCGCTTTGCCTCAAATTCTTCTTCAAGAAATTGTAAGCGTAATTTATCAAAATCTTCTTTGCTATACCTGCTCCTTTGCCAGCACTCACCTCATTTTCACCAATCAAGTGGAAAACCCCAGCTTGCGATGCTCTATTCACTACTTCAATTTCTCTTTCCACAGCCGCTCGTAGCTTATCTTGGTCTGATTCTGCCAGATTCTCGTGTTCTTCCTGCTTACCACTTAACTCGCTTTGCAACTCCCCATTCTCGTTGGTTGTCTCCCCATCATTCCGCGTTGTTTGAGATTGCGATAACAGAAAGTCTTCTCTTATAAACTCCTTTAGCTTTTCAACCAACTGATTCTCAATCGGCTCTTGCTTATCCTGTACATCTTTATAACCATACCTAACAACGCATCGAAAGATGTGAAGCTCCTTTGGTTCTAGCCTTAGGAAGAGGAACCGTTCTTCTGGCCTAACCTTGCTAATGAGCATTGATTTTATGGAGACAAAAATAAGAACTGAGTGCAGTGCTGGTATATTAGACACATAGTGCTTGAAGATGGGTGGAATACCCTGAACAACCTCCGAGTAAAACAAGGCAAGCCCAGGAATTCTAGACAAGTTTGTGTCCGTGGTTATCATTTGTAGCGTTGCAGCAGAAATCTTGTGTTGGAGCTCATAATAGTACCTTTTCCGGTGCACACTACTCCAAACAATCATCACGGTCACTAGAACTGCTGCCAGAGCTAATCGTAAGTACCCTCCACTTTCGAATTTGTAGAGGACCGAACTCAAATAGGTTAGCTCTAGTAGGCCGATGGCAAGAACATAATAGATTATAAAAAGAATGTTGGATTTCCATATAATTATCATTATCAGTACTAACAAGGAAGATGTAAGTAGCATTACAGAAACCACAGCAATCCCTATAGCAAAAATAGTCATTAATTAGTTTCAATGTTGATTATCAAACTACTAAAAGATTGACAAAATTCAAGATGCGACAGCAACAAATCTTTTCTCCATTGAATAAAAAAGGATAAAATATTATCAAGGCCAGTGGATTACCATACGCGTTGCCAATCTTGTCTCTAGTCCTGAAGCCAAGAGTAATTCCTACACAAGCTAGCATAAGAAGGTAATTGATTTCAGGAATGTAAACTTGTCCCTGGTACTTAGCTGATGTGCGTATCACTTTCACACAGGGAAACATCCTAGTGCAAGTGACTGTTGGGTTACAGAGAAAGTCCCTGAAATCAATGATTGACTCCCTATGATGGCAGCCAACACAGCTACCACGAACATTGGCCAATACAAAGGGCCTGCAGTGCAACTATGAATTATAAGCAAGGAAAAACTGTATATGATTATATTCAGTAGATAAATTTCGTCTACTTGTTAGGAAAACAAAACTGTCAATAGGCAATTATTATTCACCTGGTACAGATTTGTAGAAGCCATCAGCACCACAGTGTTGGTGCTTGCGAAGGAAGGAGGCTTGTCCAGTGTATGCTAACAAAATAGCTGGATAGACAATAGTACATGTGGTTATTTGTACGGATAGAACAGTAAAATGCCCGACATCAGCAAATAATGCCTCAGCTCCTGCATTAAGACGAACAAAATGAGTCCTAAATTTTCAGTTTCACCTTCTCAATACAAACAGCTTATACATGAACATAAAAAAAGGAACAAAAGATCTGAACCTGTTATGCAAAGGATAATGTCACCAAGGGAAATCCAAGCAGCCATTTTGTTCCTCCTGAAATAGGCTATAATGTATTGTGGATTTATAGCTTTGACAATTAGTGGATCAAATTTAATGAAGTTGTAGAGGCCAATCCCACCAATAAGCGCGAACCATACGCACATTATAGGAGCAAAGCTGTAACCCACTTTGTCAGTCCCAAATCTTTGAATCATAAAGAGGAAGACCAAGATAGCTGCTGATATCCAAACAACCATATCTGCCAGAAACGAAATTTAGGGATAAAGAAATGAAGAAATAGTCATTTGTAAGTTGAAACAAGAATTGGCAATGTGTTACACAAAATGGGATAGAACCTTGTGTCATCGCAGGTGTAGCTTGCTTGATGCCCCCCACTGCTGATAATACTACAAGTCAAGTCATAGCAAAAAAGTGACTTGATAGTCAGAAAACCATGCGCACCAAACAAAAGAAATAGTAGGCAGTGAATGGAAAATGTTATCACTAAAACTGAAATGGAGGGTGGGAGGATGCCATCCCCAATGAGCATAGAAGTTCCAATCATGGTGGAAGGCAATAGGAAGTACTTGACAAACTGGCTCTTCTCTAGCTTAGATTTGAGTGCTGATGCCTTTTTCAGCCGCCTGCTTGGCAACTCGATCTGAAAATTGGAAACATCATGATCCTCCGCTTGTTGACTTGGGATCAAACTCACATTCGCATATCGACATATGAGCGAGTACAGAGCAAATGTCCCTCCTGTCCAGTTTTACATTATTAAATCAGTAATTAGTTCTTATACTAGGACGACCTTTTCTCATTGTATGTATTACACAAACTTGAAATCCTTTTTGGGATACAAAACTCGGGAATATACGTACCGTCTCCATTATCAGTGGCACGTAAGACAATCAAGATGTACTTGACTAAAGGGAGGAGAGTGATGGTATAGAAGATCAATGAATAAACTCCAAGAATATCATCACTGTGCTTGATTCCATCATTGAAAGTGCTGGGAAGAACGTAGAGAGGTGAAGTCCCAAGATCTCCATATACGATTCCTAAGCTCTGGAACGCTAGATTCAAGATCACCTACCAGCTCACATCCTTCCCGCGCTAAAACAAAACCCAAAAAAAGAAAAATTACATATTGTTCTTTCATTATTCACTAGTACAACAAAGAAGTTGGCAAAAAGAAACCTTGAAGCCGTGGCCCTGATAAGAACCAGCAACTTCGGCAGATTCGAAGTCTAACGAATCACAAGAGGGTTTCCTTTGTATGATTTTTGGACTGTGACGCATCTGACTTCCTTGGTTAGTTCCTTGCTCAGTGAAGTCAGTGGCCATGCTTTAGCTCAAAAGTGTGAGACTGCGGATGGAGTAACAAATTAATATTGAAGATTAAATGGATGACAACATTAATTCAAAATTTAACCAGAATTATTGTACAAATTAATCCTTATCAGTATGAACGCCAGAAGTGGAAACCCCGTGAAATGCGTGTACCCAATACTAACATCTATATCATCTATGGATAACACAACAGCAGCATTATCTTAAAAGCTCTTCAATCAATACGATTTTGGCATCTCCAAATGACACCTTTCAATAAGCTACCTTTGTTTTTCCCCTAAATTCACTGCAACAAAAAAACATACTCGTGAAATTTCATCTCTATTTTTTTATTGAAAAACATATATGTAGACTAATTTAATGAGTTAGGATCCTTAATTTCATTTTACTTCCTACTTTTGACTTAAACCCATTTAGATAGTTGAATTTATCTACCAGACTACAATAAAGCAAATCAAATTTTACTTGAAATATAATAATATATAAATTATTTATATGTAAAAAAACTTATAAATATAAAATTAGCAATTGAGTTAGATAAGTTCTATTCAAAGTGATTTTTTAATTTTTCATAATTTTTTTAATTTCTTTTTTTTTCTGGAGAAGAAAATTTTATATTTATTCTAAGTCCACTCCTTGATTTTGTTATTATTGAATTACTTACATTGAAAAATAAAAACTTACTTATACTTAAAAATAAATATTTTAACAGAAAGTAATTAATGACACATATGTTTATGTGTAATGCCCATGATTATGTGCTATATGACAAATATATCTATTAAAATTAAATTTCTGTGCAAAACATTTGTTGTAAAAAATTTAAATTATTATTTCAAATTTGCACTTTATGTGGTAGGCTATTATGTTACATAAACTTATATGATTATTGAGTCGATAAATGAATTAGTAATAATATTTATTTAATAAAACAATAAATTTAACATTATTCGAACATGTAATCTCTTATAAGATTCAAATGCTTTTTCCCTAAAGTAAAATAATAAATTTTGATTGAGGTGATGGAGGTGAACAAGTCCAGACCTCAAAGCAGGCCTTGCTTGCGGATCAGCTCACCATTCAGCGAAAAGCTTAACTGATGCAAACCAATAAATGAAATTAGTTGGCAGGATATATGGCATGCTCAAGTCTTCTCAAAGTCAAACTGTATTATAATGGCGCTCACAGTGGAATAATTTGCCCACGCGGGATGCATTAGAGAGATGGGGTATGGAGCTACAGATCGACCACTCTGTGTCGTGCATGTGGTTCTCATTATGAGACTTCGTTCGTAGATAGTTATGGCAAGCAATGCTTCCTGATAAAACTTTTCAGAGCAATGTTCGGATTAATAAGTGATTTGGCTTCATTTTACTTATTGCTTTGGACGATCTGGACAAATAGGAACAATTGATTGCATGAACGAAAGTGTTTACCATTGATAAAGCTAGTGTTTGTGCATTCTTATGGCTGCAAGAATACTTTTTACACCACATGGAACTAAAGCTGCAGCACAGAAAAAGTCTAGGAAGAAAACAGTGCGGACTCCGCAAACGGAGGGAATTGTAAATCAGTGTGGAAATGTTACTTCAGTTATATGCCAGGTTACGAGTGATGGCCCACGACCATTTTGATGAGGTGATGTTTAGTGCAGTTGCATGTCAGCCTGCTTTGTTTGGGACTTCAACTGCTGAGTTATTTGCCTTCGAGAATTGGAATTCAATGGGCATCGTAGGACTTCGCAAGTTAGCAATTGAAGCAGATTCCAAACAGACCATTACAGAAGTTAATAGGCAGGAGAATAGTTGATAAATTTATTATGTTGAAAATAAATCAGAAATTTTGATAAAGAAAAAATATGAGAAAGGTAAGTGAAGACAAAAAAAAACACAATATCTATGTTCATCATAAATCTGTTTTTTTTTTTTAAGATAATAATTAGTTATTTATAAAAAGAAAACTGTTGATAAAAATGTAACAATCTAAACCAATGGCAAAAGAGAAAATCTGATAAAAATTAACAATCTAAACCAATACGAAAATGAAACATGAGATTTAAAGTAGTGTTTTGATCCAAATACAATTAATGAACGTGTTCTCTTTTAAAGAGTTACATTTTATATATTAACTTGTAACACTAAAAACGGTGTCACATCAACTAATGAATCATGTAATTGATTTATACGTGATTGTCTTCCTCCCTGCAATAAGAGTTCACTTGAATAATAAAAAACATCTCTATGCACAGATAGAACTCATTTTCTAGCAATAATTAGGTGATTTATGACGACTTAACATCATTGGCTTCTGCATGGGATTTATGCTCTTTCTCCTAATTTGAGAGGCAAATGTGACTTTATACCATAGTCATTAGAATTAGACCGGATAATGATTTGTTCCAAATGTGGAATTATTGGATTACTAATTCAATCTTTCAGTCATTCAGATCAATAAAAACATGTTTAAAAACTTTTAAATACTTTATCTGAAAAATATTAAATAATTTCCCTTTTTTTTAATTCTTAGTTCATTGTAATTTTTAACATTATTTTGAGAAATTTCATTTTAATTTTATAATAAAAAATGTGTAGACTAATTTAATGAGCTAAGGATTCCTATAATTTCATTTTACTTCTTACTTTTGACTAAAAACCATTAAGATAGTTGAATTTTATATCCAAGACTGTAACAAGGCAAATAAAAACTTACTTGAAATACAATACAAATATTTATATATACAATTTAAAATTTATATTTAAAAGCTTCTGCATTTAAAATCTAAAACTTATTAATTTTAAAATTAGTAATTGAGTTAGGTATAAAATTCTAATCCAATTCAAAGTGAGTTTCTATTATTTATAATATATAGGCTTAAATAGTAAGAAAAAAACTTCTAAATTGTTGCATTTTATGTGAAAAAGCTCATGTTCTTTAATTATACATAGTAAATTTTTATATTTCAATTTGTATCACACAAACTTTTAATTTTAAAAGAAAATTAACAATAGTGAAATCAAATACTAACATACATTTTCTATTTATGTGACACATGACATGCCTTGATGATGTGGCTAGATAATCACATAATAACCGATGTGATCGATTACCATATAACAACGTTGTATGACATGTAGACAAAAAATATCAATTGACATTGAGTATGACGTTTGTCAATTTTTCTAAGTAGAGTTAAGGGTTTTTATAAGTACAAATCATACAATAAAGATTTTTTAGGCATAATAAAATTAAGAATAATAGTCAATTCGCATAAAATACAATAATTCAGGGTTTTCTTTTAGTATTTAAACCTAATATTTTTAATTTCTTTTTTTATAGATAATAAAATTTTAATTTTGTTCTATGTATGCTTCGGGAATTTTCTATTATTAAATTACTTATATTTAAAAAAAAGCTTACAATTATAATTCAAAATATATAAAAAAATGTTATTGATAACACATATTTACATGTAATGGACATGTTTATGTGCTATATAAACAATTAACAAATCTATCAAAATTATATGTCAAAGCAAACATTTGTTGAAAGTATTTAAATTATTACTTTTACTTTTTGCTTTACGTATACACTAACAACTTATAGGATCATTGAGTCGATGAGATAAATATTTATTAATTATTTATTCAATGAAATGATAGATTTCAGATTGAGCTCCGAGCTTATAACAAATCGGACCCAAAGCAGGTCATGCTTGCGGATCAGCACGAGTTTAGTGAAAGTAAACTTCTCTTGTTCTCTAGTGATTCCTTTATACCAAACAAAAATAGGAGCACTATACATAGTATACATTTCCCACCACATTTAATTTCCCCTTTCATTTTCTTTTCCTTTTCTAGCGGGCACATCATGCTATTAATCAACTCCACATATGTCAAAGATGAAGCTTTCTCCATGTAGGATCCTCTTAACTTTTTAATGATTTTTTCTTCCTTTCTTTCATTCATTTATTAATTCTTTTGAATGAAGGAAGCAAAGCAAGATGCATGATTCATGCATATGGACGATTGGCCCCAAGAACAGCCACAACAACATCTATCGCTTTTGCAAAAGGACAACCGAATTAACTATTGTTGATTTTCAAAATCTTCTATATATATATATATATACATTTATAATTAAAGGAAGAAGGATTTGAATTTTACTCTCTAGATAAGGAGATAATGTATCAACTAATGAGCTAAATGCTTGAATATATATATACACACACACATACACCCAAGTAGATGAAAAATAATTAAAATTTTATCAATAACTCAATTAATTTTAATAATAAAAAGATATCAGCTGTGAATTTTATATTGTTCTTATATATATAATGATACTGTCAATAGTCTTAATTTTCATTTTTTAAAGTATAAGAAAATCTGAATTAAAATCTTAAATTTCAATTTTTTAAAAGAATAATAATTCATCACGCAAGTGAAAAACGCCAAATATTTTGTATATCACAATTTTAATATAACCTCAAAATGTCATCATTCAATGAAAAAAAAAAATCAAGTTGATTGGAAGATGTTAACGCAAAGCTTTTCCTTTTTTGAGTTTATGGAAAAAAAAAAAGAGAAAGTACTATTAACATGTGGAAAAACAAATCAACACTTAAAATTTTGGTTAAATTAAATGTTAATTGATATGCTATATGAAAATATCTAATGTTAATGGATGAAGCCCTATCATAGCATGGACATTAACAAATATGGACCCAAGATGATAAATTAATGAATTTTATATTTTGGGAGAAAGGGAAATGTGCCTTCTACAATTATTTTAAGGCAGAAAATTTTATGCAGTATTATGTTTACAAATTGATCGAAAGAATAAAGATTAAAGAGAGAAAACGATTCGAAAAATGAGTTACCTCTAAATTGAGGCATTCATGTGAGGTGTATAAATATTGAAAACAGCCTTATGATGAGTAGTAGTTGGAAAAGAAATGGACATGTTGACTTTGAAAAGTTATTGAATTATTGAAA